AGACGTGGAGGACAGGAAGGTGGGTGGGGAGGTGGTTATTGTTTGGAGGGAGAGTCCCCCTCCCTACAAGAAGCCACAACCATGTGTCATGGCAGGGAAAATGGCCGCGGATCCTGTTCGTTACCTGATGCGGAGATCGCGAACGGGAGCACAAATTTGCGAACGGTGCTGTTTGTGACCCAAATTGGTCGTGAACAGAAGTGTTCGTGACCCGAGGTACCACTGTATATGTTCCCTGTGGCATACAACCCCAACTATGTACTATCGATACTGCTCAGCAACGCTACTGATATTTGATTTGCCTTTAGGATCTTCCATCTGGAATCTCAGCTAAGGCACGTCCTTCACTGAAAGAGTGATGTCTCTCCTTCCCTTTTCTTTCATCTGGTGATAAGAGATGGAATTTTTAATGGAGCTATCCTAAGCTACAGTAGCAATTCCATTCCATATTCAAGAACTCATGATTACAGGATTAGGAAATTTTCTCCTGGAATCAGAATGGCTAACCACCCTAAAATAGATAAATGTGTATTTAGGTTCATTGTTTCATCTGAATTAATTTTTACTGCATAGCTGAATTTGAAAGAAAGACAAAAAATAAGACTTGAAGGAAATACTGTAATCTTCTGGGCAATTTTCAAACATTTTGCAAAGGTCTCAAAATGGTGAAGAAATATTCCCCCCTACCCCGAAGATATGGAGGGCCCTACCCTCCTTGCTTTCTGAAAGGACACTGAGACCTGGTTCTCCCCTCAGGCACTGGGGCACAATGGGAGGGGAGCCTCACATTTTTTTATTATTATTATTTTGAAAAGTTGCTGTTATAACACTGATAGTATGTTAGTTTTAATCTTGTGTTTTTATAATTTGTGTGTTTGCTAGCCACCTAGGGTTGTTTTATATAATACAGGTGGCCATATACATTTCTCAAATAAATAAAATCAATGGCACAGTCTCTTTACTTCTACAATAAAACAATGAGCAGTGATGCTTTACCAACATGGTAGCCTGGCAGAAAGCAAAAAACACAGAATACAGAATCCTGCTTTCCAACTGAGATAGATATTGTCATTTGCAAAAGGCTACCCTAAGGCATTATTTGCTGTTTCAGAGGTATCCAAGACAGGCGTCCAGTTACCATAATTGCTAGCAGGCACTGAAGGCAAAACCATGAAGTGTATGGAAATTATTTCCATCTGCACGCTAGAACCAGCATGTCCTGCTCTTCCAAGGAACATAAAAACATCCAACTAACATTAAATGTGGATAAAGGAAATGTGAAGAGCCAGCCTTTGAGCCCAGGGCTGGCAGAAGCTACCTATAAATTGTTGTCTATAGCAAAATGGCTGTACAAAGACTGTCCTTTACACTGTGAATGAACTAGGGAGGAAAGAAGGATGCAGCAAACTGGGAGGATAAAACAAACAATGAAGAATATTACAAAGAAGAAGAAAGGGTGCATTCCCCTGAATTCAGAAGCAGTCACCCACAAAGTGCCCAGTTTCGCAGCTGCAACTCACCTGGTAGAAGGAGTGAAAGTTCCGCTCTCCTGGTTGCTGCACAATCACTCGGGACTAGCAAGAGAAGAGCAAGTGAAACAGCCTTACCCAACAAGCTTGTTAATCAATTTACTTTTCACATGTATTATCCTAAGCAAAATGTTTACCTGAATTTAAATACCGAAAACAGGGTATTTTTAAACCTAATCTTGCCCAATTTAAATAACAAATCTCTTAGGAGGCAGAGGGCTTAAAAGGGGATGGGAACTACTTACACAATTTGTGCTATGGCAATGTAACACAATGCAATTGATTATTACTGTTATTATTTTATCTGTTTTATTGTTGAGGCGTTACATTGTTGTTAGCCGCCCAGAGTCATGTGTGAGATGGGCAGCCATATAGGTCTTTTAAAGAAATAATGAGAGTCTCACAGTACAACAGTAACATAACCACCATTTGCATGAACCAACTTCAGTTACATACCAGGAAGTGTTGTTGCAATCCCTGCAATGGGCAAGCAGCCTTTTGCACGGCTATGGAGGGTCCTATGAGGCTGCTGCCATAACCCAGAGGGCAAGACATTTTGTTTGGCTTGACCAAGGGGTAGAGTACCTTCTGGTGTCAACAAGGTGGGCAAATAATAGCAAGACTTCAGTAATGTTACTGATTAAGGTTTCATTAATCAACTCTTGATATTATGAACACACGAACAAACAAGCTGGTATGGTTCCAAAAGATTTAAAGAGATATTCTTACTTTCTTCTTTTTTTCTAAGATAAAAGACTATACCTATATCTATTTTTTCCCCCAAAGAATACTCAGCTGAATTGTATTACAAAGTTTATTAAAGATCTCATTAATACTGTTGAATTCCATGAATTAAATGTGTCAGAATACAAGAAGAGTTCTGCTAGATCAAGGTTAGGGTCCACCCTGGCCAAAGCCTGATGTCTACATGGGCGAGGCAGAGATTTTGGGGAAGCTCCTAGATGGGGCATTACTTATGAACTGAGTAATCCTATTTAGCCATTAGGCCTATTAGCCATTTTTTGAATGTGTCTAATTAAAGCATTAAAGCTAGTACTTACTACATTTAAAAACAATTAACACTCTGAAATATGACATTATTTTCATCCTTAGGAAGTATGACACATTACTCACATAAATATTGGGCTAAATTACAATATGTTATTTGTAAAAGCTGTCTATGTTGAATAAAGTTCATCTGTCCATACTTTAACTGCTGTATTTTTTCAAGCTATTTCAAACATGGCATTTAAGCAACAGTGACACTTTGCATCTGCAGCCCAAATAGAGGACCGTTATTGTCTATTAGCTAAACCAGAGATTATTTTATTACAATAGGATAGAAAGCTTAATGGAGTTACCCAAGACTTATTTTAACTCAACAAAGTAGACAGCTAGGAGAGGGCAGGACACTGCTAAACTGGGAGTTTATTATTAGCATTAACCTTTAGGTGACCCTTGTTTTTAGGACACTTCTCAAATTTGTACAGTCTGTCCCAAATTATCCAGTGGGATTAATTCTAAAAATATGATAGGGTTACCAAACCAACAGAAACTGCTGCATGGTTTAAATTTGGAGGATGGGGGGGAATACCTGAAAAATAACTCCTAAGTCATCAAAGCGTCAGTGTTTATTCCAAGATTATCATTCTGAGCAGAGTAGCCAAGTAGGGTGAGGGGAGGGGGAAAGGAAAGAGAAACACGTATATGCTATACAGATGTTTAAAGGCTGTTGCTTTAAAAAATGATTCCGCATGTAGTCACAAAACAGAAAGCTAGACAGCACTTAAAATCTACCCTATCATCTATTCCATTTTTAAGTGAGGTTTTCATCAGGCCATGAAACATGCAATAGAAAGTGTCCTTACTACCACATGATCATCTATTTAAAACTATGGTCTCTGTTACAATTATATTTACTGGAAGCTTTGCAAGTGAAAGCCAACTTTTCCATGTACTTAGCATTATTCCAAGACCTCGCTCCACTTTTCTGTTATGAATCCAGATGCTTACAATACAGTCAATTTTTACTAATTTCTAAAAGGTATCTTTATGTGTGAATCACCATGAAAGCCTACAGGGAAAATCAACTTACCTTTTCCAGCAAGTAGTTATTGATGTGCCCACCTATTGGGTCTCCTTTGAAATCAAAATTGATATCCATGTATTTTCCAAAGCGGCTGGAGTTGTCATTACGGTTAGTTTTTGCATTGCCAAAAGCTTCCAGAACACAGTTGGATTTCAGCAGCATGTTCTTCACCCTTTAAAAAGCACACACACACAAAAACCAGTAGTAAAGGAAATCAGATCAAACATAACAACATGTTTTATAGGTAAGAAACCTAATGGCCATGCTAGCTCTACTAAAGGAAGGGTGTACTCCAAAATGTGGTTAGCAGAACCCCCCCCCCCCAAGCAAATAGTTTAATTACTGCAGGATCCTTAGTTGTCAGTTTTCATCTATAGAAAACTCCATTCTAGTGTTTGGGTACACAGAAATAGTCCATTCACTTCCATCATTATAAGTATTAAAAGCTCTTTCTCTCTCCCAAGAAGTATGAAGCCAAATATAAATTCCAAAATGATGCTCAAGGCCTTAACGGGCTTCGAAGGATAAAATATTATGCTGACAAAATATACAGCTAATACTATTTAGAATATGCTCCTGACTACAGGTAGTCCTCGACTTACAGCAGTAATTGGGACCAGAATTTCTGTTGCTAAGCAATGCAGTCGTAAAGCGCAATGTCATGTGACCACATTGCTTAGTGATGGTAATCCTGGCACTCCCCGTTGCCATTGTTAACTGAATTCCACCAGTTGTTAGCCAAGGACCCACCCCACTCCAGGCCATTCTGGATCTGCTCCCTCCCAGCCCTGAGCCTTGGTAAGGTAAGGGACTGCCTGTCTTCAACTCCACCCATGTGCCTATCTCACCCACCATCTCTGCCCTTTTGGCCACCCTGCATCCTGCCTTGCAGGGTAGCAAGCAGTCCCAGAACCGCAAGGCTCTGGGGCTGCTTGCCACGCTGTGGCTCAGAGCTTCTTGGCATGCTGTGGCTCTGGGGCAGCAAGAAGCCCCTGAGCCACAGTGCAAAGCCATAGCCGCCCCTGGAAGCCTCAGCCATCCCAATCCAGCACAGCAGCACAGCACAGCGCAAAGCCACAGCCACCCCAGCCCAGTCCCAGCTGCAGTTGCCCTTGCCACCCTTGCATTCCAAGGCCCCTGCTGCCCTGTGCTCCGCTGCCCCAGCTGACCGCCATCTTCTTGCTCCCACTGCTGACAAGACATGCCCACCCTGGCCCTTTGTGAGGCAGCTGCTGGCCATGTGAGGCAATCAGCCCCAGGTCTTGTGAGGAAACCACTGTGTGCGACCTTGGGAAGAAAGCCTTGTGTGATCAGTAGCGGGAGCAAGAAGACAGCAAAGGTCTGCTAGAGCAGCAGGAACCGCGGAGTGCAGGGGGCCAAAAGGCCATAGATGGGGGGGGAGATAGGCAGGGGGAGTTGAAGCGCCCTGCAGTCTTAAGCATGGGTGGGCTGCCAAGTGCCCAAATTTTGATCACATGATCGTGGTTGCATTACAACGGCCATAACTTTGAGGACTGGTCATAAGTTTCTTCGTTCAGTGCTGCCATAACTTCAAATGGTCACTGAACAAATGGTTGTAAGTCAAGGACTACCTGTAATAGCAGAAATTGTGATGAGAAAGAGAAAGCAGTTGTGTTCAGGTTGCTTACAGTTCAACTCACTTTAAAACTAACATATTAAACTACTCAGAAGATAATAAGCCAGACAGGAACAACAATGTTTTGGGATGTCAGCATCATCCTGGCCACCTCCTATGCAACAGTAAGTTGCTGTTGAAGTGTTTAGGCCATTATTCAAGATCAGAGCTCCACAATATACCTTGAATTTTTCCATGTTCCTTTTTTGTCTTTTTATTTATCACTTTGCCTGAGAAAGAGCTCTTGAGAAGCTAAAAGTCTGTGCCTTATTATGGTACCTTCATTTTTACATTTTGCATTCAATTAAATCAGACAGTTTTCTCTCTTAAAGCAAATGCCTTACCTCTCAACTTCAGCTCTCTGGCTTGGATTAGTGATGGCAGCTATGTACTGCATAATATATTTACTTGCTTCTGTTTTACCTGCTCCACTTTCACCTGAGGGTGCAGATAACAGAGAGGCATCATAACACAATCTAATCTGTTTAGCTAGGTAAAGAGAACAGGTGTGCTTTGAGCAGTCACAAAGCACTTGTAGAATTTCTTTATTTTTCAAGAAATTAAGATTAAGCGCTATGTGTTTATGATCTCATGCTCAGTTCCTAGTTCAAGAGGAGAACTGGGCAAAGACTTTGTCAGAAACTCTTTATAAAAGTTGGCAGGAGAAGTAGACAGTATTGGACGAACAAGTGTTAGATTAAAACAATATGAAGTTGGAAAGAGAGAGCCTCTGGCAAACCAATTTTGCAGGTTGTATTGTATTCACAAAAACCTACATGTCGCAGTTGATATATAACATTTCTCAGTCTCTGGATGCTGTGAGGGTCTGGACGGGGAAGAACAGGCTTCAGCCCAACCTTGGCAAACTGAGTAGATATGGGTTTTAGGGCCCAGTGGATCCAGGGCTTTTCCATCTTTGGATCTGGATGAGGTTGCACTACTCCAAACAGGTCCAGTGTGCAATGTGGAGGTCCTCCTGGACCCACAATTCCTGCCTGAAGAGCAGGTGGCAGCTACAGTCAGAAAGTCTTTGCACAACTTGGTTTTGTGTGCTCAGTTGTGCCCCTTCCTGGATCAGGAGGCACTGCTCACGGTCATTCATGCCTTAGTCTCATCCTGAGTGGATTACTGCAATACACTCTACATGGGGCTGCCGTTGAGGACCATCTGGAAGCTGTAGCTGATCCAGAATGTGGCAACGCAGGCAGTTATGGGTGCGCCTCAGTACACCCATGTTACATCTCTGCTCTGCAAGCTGCATTGGCTCCCAGTGTATTTCCAGGTGGAATTAAAGATGCTGGTTGTTACCTTTAAAGCCCTCTATGGCATGGGGCCAGGTTATCTGTGGGACCCCCTCTCTCGCCAGTTGTTTCTACCCATCTCACTAGGTCTGACAGGAGAGGGATGCTCTGGGTCCCTTCAATTAAAGAATATCATCTTATGGGACTTGGAAGTGTGCCTTTTCTGTTGCAGCACCTGCCTTGTGGAACACCATACCCTCCCAAGATCAGATTGGCCTCCACCCTGCTGGCCTTCCATAAAGCACTGAAGACCTGGATGTGCTCCAGGGGATAGGGGTAGGTATATCCCAGTTTCTGTATTGTCTTGTTGGGTTTATCTTCTGTGACCATGGTGGGTTTTTTTTTATTTCACTAATCTTGTTTTTATTGTTTGAATGTGTTGTTAGCTGCCCAGAGTCACATTTGTCAGATAGGCGGCCATTTAAATTGATTAAATAAATAAATCACTTACTCATAGAACCAATTCAATTGTAGCCAGGCTGGACTCACACATTGCACAAAACTACCACATGGTAAGTTGGTGACATAATGCAAAATATAAGGACCTAGCTTCAATCTTCTAGCTTTGTTTAAGATATCCCAATGGTCTTTAAATGGAAGTAGCGGGTATCTCTGACCCACCTGATATTACAATGCATGTGTCCTTTGATCGTCTCTTCATGGCTTTATATGCAGCATCAGCTATGGCAAAGAGATGAGGTGGCCTCTCATACAGCTCCCGCCCTTTGTACTGCTCAATTGTATCACGGCCATAGATATTCAAGTTCTTGTAAGGATTTACAGAAACAACTACTTCCCCTATAAATGTGTAGATCCGTCCTTTTTCAAACCTAAATGGTACAAGACAAAGATAACAGAAAAGGGTAATGGAGAATTAGAAAAGATTAAAAAGCAGGCAATTAATACCATACAGCTTACATGAGCTTTGTACTTTACTGTTAAGCTCATTTCACCATAATTATTTATCATGACCACAGTCTTTACTGACTGCCATGCAGCAGTATTTGAAGAGTTATATAAATATACAGGGAGAATTATGTACACTGTATATGTCTTTAAAGTTCTTTATGTAAATGTAGAAACAGGATTAGGCATCTAAAAATCAGAGTATTCATGCATGCATGCATATGCACACCCCTAAGTTGTATCTATCCATTAACAGTGATGCTTGAATATGTAATAAAGTAGTGACCTGAATATAGCACAATTCAAAACTCTAAAAATCATTTGAAAAAACAAGATTTTAACATTTAACATACAAAGTGCCATATCAAAAAGCCTTTAGCTTTCTACTGGAAATTTAGATTTTCCACCAGTCCTAAATACAAACTGCAAGGTACCATGAATCCAAGCCACTGCAGAAAAATAACACTACAATTAGTTAAATTTGGTTTATGATAAAAGAGAAAATATTTTGGGGTCCAGGGGCCATGGTTTCTCCTCCTGTTTTATTTAGAACAACTTCCTTTCTGAGCCACAACAACCTGTTAATATTTCTCTACCTCTAGACACCATCAGTCTGTTTCCTAACTCACTCGACAGGATTTGATGGCTGACAGAACCTCAGTCCTGTCTGTTCTCAAACATTATACATTGCTCTTACTAAATCACAAGGCAGGATATGATAAATATTGTTCGATAGCTCCACTTGAGAAAGGAAGATGAAACCAAGTACCATATGCAGATATGGTTGAAATAGTTACTTACTCTGTATTCAGTTCCAGAACAGTTATACGCTGATGCTATAGAACTAAGGTAGTTGACTAGCACCTATAAGAATTCAGCACTTCCAAACACAATATTCCTATAATATCTATATAACATCTGGATTGCTTTTTTTTTTTTTAAATCCCAACCAGAGATTTATTGAAGAATTATTGGCTCAACTCACAAGGAAGATGGTAATTGTCCTTAAATGCATTGTCATTAAATGCTGCATTGATAACATAAAACATGGGACAGGTAAAGAGCAACAAATTCCAGTTTCACCATGGGAAGAAACTGGGTTTATTTGGTCAGAAGTGGCATAATTTCTTTTAAGTTTATTCTGGAGATAAATTTAAAATCTGGCAGAGCAATGTCTTAAATATGTTTTTGTGTATCTCTAATTTACATGAAGTATTATCAACAATTAAAACTTTGTTTAACAATAACACTGATACTTATCCAGAATTGTCAAAAGTAATATCAGCATTTCTCTTTCCTTTTAAATATACCAGTTATCCACTTCTCCCTTCCTTTCCCTGTTTTTTTTTTATTTTCTCCCACTGTCAACTGTCTTAACACTTCTTTCCCCAAGTTGTCTTACTTTTCTACCTGTTTTCCTAATAAATGCCCATTTAAGCCTTCTCTTGCTTTAACAGAATGCAAATAATCTATCATTTTATCACATATCCAGTGTGAAAGACTTCCTATCAAAGACAGGAAGCAAACTTCCTGTTGCCAAAAGCAAACTTTCATATGTACCCAAAGAGTTCAGCATTACGATATTGCTTTAAAATTTGGAAGCTCTGCTGAATTTTTCTGTCGGGGAAGCATACCACTTTCACTGCTGTTCTGAAACATACATTCATACTTGAATTTTTAATACATTTTTCAACTCAGTTTTGAGGGCAGCCTGTTTCCCAGAGTAGGAAATGCCATTCTGTGCACATTTGCTGCCCCTCCTTTCCTGTATGGGATGGAACGGCAAAGGCAGGGCAAGAACCAGTTATTTTCTTATACAACATGCTGAACTGGGGCAAATTCTTCCAGAAGGGAAGCCTGGAAAGGAAACATTATATGTATAT